CTACCTGACCTATCAGCAGCCCTTCTCGACCGGCGACCAGCCCCAGCCTCACTATGCTGGTCACCATGGCGGCGGGATGGGTCTGTTGGGCGTCGAGGCCAGTCACGGAGGCGTCTCCGCCTTGGGTCGACCGAGCGGTGGGCGAGGCAGCGGTAACAAGTCGGCAAAGTTAAAGTCGACGCGAACAGCGGGCAGGGACTCGGCAGTCGTGGCGACGGGACGAGCCAGCCGGCTCTCCGAGTCGACCGTGAGTGCCACTTCGATTTCGGGCGTCATGGGAAGCGGAAGTGGATTAGTAAACGGTACAAAGGGGACGTCAAGCAAATGCGCGGGTACGGGTGGCCAAGGCAGCAGGGGCTCGAGGATCCGAGGGGAGCACAACGGATCAGGCAACTCCGATCGACAGTCGTTTGCTGGCAATTTTATGGATGACGATTGTTCTGGTGAGTTCCTGTTCCTCTCTTTCAGTTAATGTTGCTATTATTTCACTGCCATCTCTCCCAGCATGCCTCGTCCTGCCACTCAACCGCCTATTCGCTCCACTTCTCGATAACCGTTTCTTTGTTCCTCTTTCTAGGGAATCACTGATTTCTGTCTCTTCTTCAGATACACTTTTCCTCTCTTTTCGTCTAACATTTTTTCCTCGCTTTCGTCTTTTGACTCGGCCCCCTTTCTTGACTCATTCCTTCGACATTTTTGCTAGGCCGACTGAGGAAATGACTTGAAAAAATTCCACAATATAACTTGAAAGTGAACTAACTGTCGGAAACATAGCCCTCTCGATGGAGACGAGCGAAGGAATAGGAGAATTCGCACTCTAAACATGTTTTATAGCGTACTTCAAGAGCAGCATCAGCCGTGCCACTCCTGTTATGCTTCTTTTCGAGGATGGAAACTGGCGGTGGTCTGTAGTCACACCAGAGTGACTTTGGCAACTGAGATGCCTTTGTTGTTGGGCTACATTTGTTTCCAGTTTTATAGAAAGGCGTAATCGTGTTCATTAGCTTCGTGTGTCTGTAGCCCGCATTTTGTGGCCATCCTTCTGATAGTCCTCAGAATGTCCTTCTCTCCACGTTGTAATTCGTCGAGCACCACCTCATGTGACAAATACAACTACCTCATTCCAATTTGTCTCCACACATATCCACAAACCTAAAGTATGTATCTGTATGGGAGGCCCAGAGACCAGGCTCTGTCCATAACAGCATCATTTTTTGATATCTCAATGATGCTGCTGAATAAATCCTACTTACTCATACTTGGTAAGCTTGATGGCAGGTTTTGTGAGCAAACTAGGCTGGTCAGTATCGACAACTAGTGGACTTGTAGGTAAAGGGAAATTCGGTACTTCAAGAGGGCATCTGTATCCCTCCTATGGCCATTCAATAAACATATTCTCGACTTGATTT